CCCCAAAACCCCAAAACCCCATAATGCTCGATTTCAAATTCTGAACAATTTTAAATGTGCTTGATAAAATTTTATATAATATTTTACGAAAAACTCATTTAAAAAATACATTTATTTAGCAAACCATGACTGAGGACATCCAAAGTAACGAAGAATATGTATTTTATAAAATTTTCTTCTTAAATAGGGTAGTAACTCCTCATTTATAGGATTCAAATAGTCCAAATGAGTATAATATGCTTTGTGGAGACAAAGATTCATGCAATTGAAAAGCAGACAGTGAATTGGATTTAGAGCTCTCAACTTTAGAAAACGGTACACTACTTTCAGCTTTAATATTTTAAAAAAGGGCAAGACATTGAGGAAAATATTGAAAAAACGGATTCAGGAGATCACAAGAAAAATTATTCTATTCCTTAGGCCATTATTTAAGACAAAAATATTTTGACTTGGAGTTCATCATTAAAAAGAACTTTTAGACCTATAAGTAAAGGATCATTTAGAGGCAGTACTTTTCAGCTAAGTGCAGCAGCAATTGGTTCAGGATCTCTATCACTCCCTTATGTGATGGCAAAAAACGGATTTATTCTTGGATTGTTGATGATTATTATCGGTTGTATTTCAACCATTGTTAGTTTAATGATGCTGGGAAATTGTTTAGCGAAAATTCATCCACCTAATTACACTTATTTAATTAGCGAGGTAATAGGTATGAATGTAGATCACCATATTGGTTGGCTTATAATTATTTCAGCTATTGGATCAAATGTGTCGTATCTAATCGCCATAATTTAAATGATACAAGTTTTTGCTGCTAATATTGGATTAAATATGTATCTAGCTAACGTCTAGCATGTAAAGATAGCTATAGCTGCTTTTATCTCTCTAATCATTTTACTCCCTTTTGGACTGACAAGAAATTTTAGTGGTTTCAGATACCTAAGTATATTTTCAATTTCTTCTTTGGTTTACATAATGCTTGTACTATTATATGAGTTGCCAGAGTAAGCAGCTCAAAACTACAAAGCAGAGAGAGTTAAATATTTTGAATTTAATTGGGACACTCTCTCACATTATAGTATAGTGTTTTTTTCTTTTTCTTGCCATACCGATTTTATTCAGATCTATGATGAGATGGTAGTTAAAAATTAATAAAGAATGAAGAGACTTGTATATAGCAGTGTCTGTTCTAATGCTATATTTTATTTGATAATTGCGTTATCTGGTTACTTTTCAACATATGAGTTAACTAATAAAATTGTTATTGATAGGGAGCCTTTAAAAGGATAACTTTTTGATTTCCCTCTCACAATAGGAAGGATTTCAATAGTTATAATGTTGTGTGTTATTTTTCCAATGAATATGGTCCCTGTAAAACAAGTTTTCTTTCATTTAATCTACTCACGAGACCACTAAATGACATAAGCTGAGTAATTATTCTTTTTGACTTATATTTTTTTTAGAAATGTATGGCTATCATTTGGTTTTATCTTGTTAACTACAATAACAGCTATTATTTATCCAGACATTACAGGGGTACTATCGATAGTGGGTGGAATATGT